GTCCGTATGGGATAATATCTTGATTCCGAATAAAAAAAAGGTTATACCAAGTACGTATGTGCATGTTTACACATTTACAACAGTAATTTACACAGGGAATCATTACTACATTGTAATCGTCATTTTTGAAAGAATAGATATAAGATTTGTGCAGCTATGATGAGTCTGATAACTCATACAAGTGTGCACTATAATTAGGGACCTACTGTCTGTGTTTTATTGCAATAAGCAGTCTCTCCTTGCATGTTATATATAAGAAGTGTACCTAAGATCAGTTGTTTAAACTGTAATGTAATTTCCATTACAAGCAGTATAAACGGTATTACCTACTGACCAGCTGCATAAAGGCTTATCAGTACCCCACCGCCATCACCCCACACCATCAAACACCTCTCCCTCTCACACACATGCACACACACACACTCCTTAACATACATATCGCTCTAGCCCATAGACCCAATATTTGAACCATCTAAACAGACATCATGTGTATGTCAAGAGAGGCAGGCACGTTAATAGTGGTGCTCAGTCATGGGTTTCACTTCGCCATATGTTTCTAATGATCTCCGTGCATTATGGCGTGGTCCGACGCGCTAACGAACCCGGTGTGAAAGTTACATTACAGAACCATTGAAATACATGTTAAAGTAGTGTTAATCTTGTTACAGTATATTTATCCATTACCAACCATTTACGCGAGGAATAAATATATGGCAAACCTAACCCTGGTCATACGAGATTTCAAAGGTATTAAAATGTATGTCCTACAATCACAGCATTTACATATGTTACACATGCTAGAAAACACATGAAAACAGTGGCCAGATTTACACACCTGTGAAATACATGTAAATACAGAGTTGAGTGTTCGTTAAATTTAACTCCCTTTTAAACGTGTGTAAATCTGACAGCCAGATGACACGTAGATTTCCAACGTTGTTCATGTGGCCGCCGGATGAAACGTATATTTCCTAACGTGAGTAAATTTGGGCAATACAGTCATTTTGCGTGGTGAATGTGTATAGACAAAGCGTAAATGCCTGGCAGATAAGATGGAGCAAGTGTATATCCAAGCATAATCCGGATAAGGTTTTTGTATGGGAATAACAATTACTTTGCACCTTTAAGGTCGAAAGTGTCTACATGCCCGGATTTCATCAAATATGAATAGACGAGTTTCTAGAGATGGTAAGTTCGTCAAGAGCTAATAGTAGATGCTGTCATGAGCTTGCCTGAGGGGAGTATGGATTCCCACCTTTTGTGGATCATGTCATTGGTATAAGTGAATTGATTCTTGAGACATCATTTTGCCAAGATATTAGCGTTTACTATGTTTAAATGTATGCCATGCATTAGCATTTAAAATTTTGAACCTATTTAAATTATGGACCATAGGATGACAACGGTTATTCTTTTCCGCTCTCTCCCTTGCCTTCCTAGCTTGTTTGCAGTTGTCGTTGAACCATGGTTCACGTATGGTGAACTGCAGAGGACTAAATGATCAGGAATCCCAATGAAACGTTTAGGTTTAAGTGTGTCTCTACAAAGTGTACTGTATAAAGACCTGTTTGCCTTTATAAGGTTTAATCACGATGATGGAGAAACATCAAATGGTGTTTCAGGTTGTAGAATGGTACGAAACTTAGCACTTCCACAGATGTCATTGTAGACTGAATTCACTAAACAGCTTTGCGCCTGAAATGGACAAATCAAGAGAAGAGCATGTGCTGGTTCCAGGATGTAAATATCTTTTAGAATTATCATTCAAAATACATATTTCATTTGCGGACAGAAATTTTCCAAAGTCTTTCCCCGACTGCTGGTCACAACACCAGGTGTGAGTACTAGCCCAAGGAGGATTACGTGCGTTCAGAACGCCCATAATAATACAAGGCTTTCGAAACTGGTCATATAGGGTTTGAAAATCATTCTGCTGAAGAGAATAGGATGGAGGAATATAAAAAGAGCACAAAGTGAAAACAATGTGCATGGTTATACAAACGGTTAGGTCCCGTAAGTCCGACCTTTGGATGGGTGTAAAAACAAACTCGTCGGTTTGGATGGGTATGTCGTTTAGGTCGACTAGTTCTAGACAATGGGCAGTCAATGTTTTTACAACGGCACAGTTAATGCTAAAATGTTCACCGGGAAAATAACTGAATAAGGATCACGCTGTAAAATATCATTTTTATTTGTGCAGTAATTTATATTATCTAGATGATAAATAATACATATACATAAAACATAGTATATACCTAAAAAGGTTATAGCACTAAAATAAGAAACTTTGAACATTATTGATAAATTGTTGATAACTGTCTTGAAATGAAATAACATACAATACATAATCTAACATACATTTTGCAAACATAGCTTATAGCACAACAATATACCGGAAACTAGAATCAATAGTTAGCAACTTCACAGAATAGGACTCACTGTCCAGGTGCTTCATCAATGACAGGTCATTATTTGACAGTCTGAACTTCAAGGTGTCCAATCGTCTCTCCAAATCTCTGCATTTCTTCTTTTTGGGGTCTGTCTTTGCTTCGTTCAGTCCTTGTTCATTCCTTGTTCATCTGCCAAGAGCTTGGCTACCTGGAACAGGTTGGGATATGCTCCACGAGATTTATTCTCCCTTTTTCCTCTTGTTTACAATGTATATTTGCACATAAGTATCTTCCACCACGAGAAGTCGGAAGATGCTTGTAGTCTAATTTGCCATAACGGACGTTGTGGAAATGATGATGAAAACTGTCATTTCCAACATTCTTATAGCATGCCCGTTTATTTAATAAATTGAATTAAGAGATTCACTCACTATCTGGTACAGATGCCATATTTCGTTTCCTGAGTGAACACATTTCACATTTTGTTGAATACCAGTATCTTAATCCATAAAAACAACAATGTTGTCACATCATCAAACATCAAAGAATTTTTACCTCGACACAAAGATCGAACTTACGGGACCACCCCGTACAAACAACACAGCTGGAAGAGACGTATTGAGAGACAGGACTATGGATAATGCCCTGCTTCACCAAAATTAAAGAACCTCCAGTGGCTCTAGCCCCTAGAGGTGAACAGAATTATAAGAATCACATTGTCAGGTTTTCAGTTGATCTGTCTATTTTTAAGCATGTTTCCTGTAAACAAAATGCTGATCTTGTGATAATGATTGCAATAATTGTTCGGAAGTCCCCTGCAGTTCCACTGTATTACATGATTATAACCCTTTATGGTGCATCAACGGGTGATAGTGATCGTGATGGACTTCTACTCCTGAGTAGAAACTGGAGGGCTGATCATGACCTCCCTGTCCAAAGGTTCAAATCAATTTTGAACCTTAGCAGAGGTTGGGAACGAAAGCCCCTCCAAGTGTTGGAGAGCACTGACTTCTCATGTGTTTGTTTTCCGTTCGCTCTGAACTGATTTTTTTTCACGTTACATTTTCGGATTCTGAGTGTTGTGGCAGTGGGACAGGTGTTTGCGTTTCGGAAACTGATGTATCCGGCTCTATAGAAATGTGTTCAGAAAGATCTGATCATCATTTTCCCAACTGATGGACGTTTGGCAGTGTGTCGGAACTCTTGTAACCTTGATAACAGCTGAAGGAGGAAAGTGCAGGTATTCACGGGAATACCTGTGATCGTGTGTCAACAAGGACCACGTTACAGCGAATGCCAGCCTGTAATATCAGGCTTACAGAGATGCTATACCTCAGCAAATAAAGACGTGAACAGCTTCGAGATTGGCCCATGAGACACTGCCTTCTGGCATAGGACTCCAGGCAAACTTGATACTGTCAATAGAAGTTGCGCAATATTCAGTGTCAAAATCCAAAGCAAACCAATATCAACACGAACGTTTCCCTGCACAGGGCATGGCATGACCAGCCGATTGACAGAACTGGGCCCACTTTCCCACCCGCCAAGGTGAAGTCAAGGTCGAAGTGGTGTGTTGCGCAAAAGGAACACGGCTGCTGTCTCCTGTGCCCTCGACCACCAGAATCCCGTCTCAACCAACACAGGGGCGCAACCCACGACAAAGCGGTTGCCTAATTCAGTCGCCTCTTTCGACCAGCAGTGGGGTGCTGAGGACCTATTCCATACGTTACCCAGCACTCACCACGAGGAGTTTGTTCTTTGCTCCTGGCAAGTACCTTTCTTGTGGGGAGTCTGGTTTATCTTGGAGCCAGGGATTTGGTGTGTACAATATCACTCTCTGTGCGAGTTTAGGAATCCAGTAACAGTAATCACGTGAGTTTCCTAAGAGTGAGTGAGTTTTGTTTTACGCCGCACTCAGCAATATTCCAGCTATATGAAGGCTGTCTGTAAATAATCTAGCCTGGACCAGACAATCTAGTGACCCACAGCATGAGCATCGATCTGTGCAATTAGGAACCGATGACATGTGGCAACCAAGTCAGCAAGCCTGACCACCCGATCCCGTTAGTCGCCTCTTACGCCAAGCACAGTCGCCTTTTGTGGCAAGCATGGGTTGCTGAAGACCTATTCTACCCCGAACCTTCACGGGTCAGTTTCCTAAAAAAACATTGTATGGAAACGGTACGGCATATATATTTTTTCTTCGGGATTACGTTTGCATATATGTTTCGTTTGAGTGTTATGTGTTTACCACTCACAGTCCATATCTAAGCAACATAACATCCTTTGTCACATGTTTTTCTCAGTGCGAACTTAGGAATCCAGTAAAACATTAATGAATGGATGTTTCCAAATTTCAGATTCAAAGGTAGAGGTCTTCTTGCTTATGTTAAACGTGTCTTGAAAGTATACGTTCTACGAATACTATTATCACATATGGTTCCCAAGCTAGATTATATCGAAATGGTTCTGCATATATATGTTGCTTCAGGGTAACCTTTGCATATATTTTTGGTTTCAGGAAAGCAATAAAGTGTTATATGTTTTATGTTTACTCACTAACAATCCATATCCCGTAAGTATGAATGCCATCTTTGTATCCTCCTGTAGCCACCAACACCGTTGACAACACGACCTTTGACAGACTGGGTTCCCTGTGCGTCTGTTCTGGATTCGACTATGTCAGCATCAACAGAGACCTCGCTGTTGTTCACGTTGCGATGAAGGAGAATGGCGTGATGAACATGAGTACTGAAAGAGCAATGTTTGAAGAACTTATAGCTGACGATGGTAAAGGTTGATGCATGTTATTACTGATGATTGGGCTTTTTTTTTTTAAATTGTCAAATATTTTCTTAATGTTTTAGCCGTTTGTCCTCTAGAATACGTTTGATGGTTGGTTCAACAGGTTGGTTGTTGTTTTACGTCGCACTCGAGTCTGGGCCAGACAATGCAGTGATCAAAAGCATAATCGTCGATCTGTGCAATTGAGATACGATGCCATATATCAACGAAGTCAGTGAGACTGACCACCCGATCCTGTTTGTTGCCTCTTACTCGATGCTCATGGTGTTGATCATTGAATTGTCTGGTTGAGACTCGGTTATTTACAGATCGCCGCGATATGGCTGGAATACTGCTGAGTGTTAAAACAACAAACGGCGTTAAACAACAAACCAACCAACAACGATGTTACAAAGTAGACATATCTCATGCCATACATTAATGTGTCCACACATTATGACAGACATTGTTAGAAATATTTGTATTTTTTAATGTTTGTATTTTAATATCTCACAGGGGATGACGATAGATTCCAAAGGTGTGCGTTAGAGGCCCCTACTCTGAATGTAGGCGACACCGTACCATCCGGAGAAAGCGTGGATGAAGCATGTGGGCCTCCTCAAGGTGCTCTGAGCAGGTTGAACTCAGAAGATATGCAAAGGTATGAAAATACAACACTGCAGAGCTTCTGACTACCCCGTGCTTAAACTGTATACAAGAGAACATGTATATTCTGTACACTAATAATTCCGATGTTCTGTTCTAGGCTGTATCACTACGATAGGAATGATGCTGTGTTCAGGCCTGAGGGGAGTTCCAGCAGTGTTTGTGGATTCTCCACCCGAAGATGTAGAACACCATGTCTGCCCTCCATGAACCAAACAGAACCTTGGTCATACTGTAGCACCCGGCTAATGACTGCCAGGATGGCGCTCAAACTAAGACAACTCGCTAAACTAGCACACGCAGAAGGCATAGGTAGAGTTATACAGTTACAACAACTTTTGATTTCCCATATTTGAAGACCAATTCTAACCCGAATGTTCACTGGTTGGACATACTACAGAAGACTGGCTATCACAAAACTAAATTGTTTTAATATTGTCACTCATAATCAAGACGAACAATACGTTGACAAAGACGAAGGATAGGTTGAGTTCAAACTTCTTTAGTTGGTTCCTCAAAACATGACATTCAAGTATACATGAATGGGGTGAGCGGAGTTCCAGCTCAACCCCAGGGCGTTTCCTACGCGCGGCATTATCCTGCTCGCGGTCGTCCCTACAAAGACAGTCGAAATACCGGACTCTTAACAGTAAAGCTATGGACATATATATAGTTATAAACAACAATGGACAGGCGAAAACTCAACAATGGACAGATAGAGAAACAATGGCACTTCCTTGTACAGTTGATGTGATGGCAGATGACCACTTCATGCCATAAATGCCATATACAATAATTAATGACAGTGACAGTATGGTACATGGTGGCTGACAAGACAATGTACAATGCGGTAGCGATAAGGATTAAGAATGCAGATTAAATAATTACGATTAAGTCTCACATGACTTAGTTACATAGTTTTTGGTCTTTCAAATATTTGGACGATGGTTTTCCAGAATTAGACCCTATCACAATATTATATTGGAAATGTGAGGCAATGAGAGAAATTAATTGAAGATTACTGTAGAAATACATGTATATGTATGTTCCGTGTTTATATGGTATTGCAGGCGTGAACGTTGAAAGGGCATTTACTGAGCAGTCAGACACGCCACCGCACTTCAGTGAAGGAAGGTATTTATCAATGACATTCATTTTCCATGAACTACTTCATCTGTTCAATAATACAATTTCCTGGAACTTCATCTCTCATATCCAATGTTAATTATGTACATAGTTTTAACTGTACACACGAACTATTCGTACCCTTGGTAAAGTCACCTCCTCTCACTTTGAAATCCATTTCGGTATATCGGTTTAAAGTTAAGACAGTGAGTGTGGATGTGTGGTACAGAATATTAGGCTTGGATAATAGGTAGGTCATTGAGTTAGTCAACATCTATGTGAATAGTACATCCTTAGCTTTCAAGAAATACGTAAACATATCCTAGTGTGAGTGAGTTCTAGTCACATCGGCAGTATTTCAGCCATATCAAGACTAATAGTTGTTACAAATGCATGATAAACATATTATGAAAACCTGTCGACAAAAGATAGTAAAAAACAATTAGAACATCTCAGAAACAAGCATTGAAACTAGCGTCTATCTCTAAAATTGGCCTTCAATCAGGATAATACAATATACAACACAGACTCGGTATCGCCAGCAACTGAATGTAGATCATCATACTAGACCATGGGGACTTTCAGTACTTTTGCTCCCTGCATGGACCTTTGTATAGTAATGAATTCTGTTATTAAACAGTGATACGTAATATATTTTCAGAGGGCTTCGTCTCACAAGTTCACCGATTTCAAGTTTAAATAGATTGGCAGTTTTGGCTGCATGCTCTGGTTTCGATTTCATGAACCTTTCAAGCCCCCAATTCATCGAAGTGTTTGTCAAGAGTCAGGAAGATTTCATTGGAATACGGGTAGAGTTTTCTCATGAGGACATTGCTAGGCTTGCTGTTGCCCCTCCTCCAAATGAACAAACAGAATATCTTTATCCGGAATCACTAGAACATGAAGCAATATCGCCAAACCTTTTTCTCGGCGTTGACAAAGAGACCTATCTCTCTGAATATTACACCATCCAAGATATGAGCTGTCCAAATAGACATTATTTGAGGGTTGACTCATCACTGCTCATGTGTCTTGATCTTATTTCCGAGGAATATGGCGATAAAGTAGAAATTGTAGAAAGTTCTGGGTATCGTACACAGTCCGTAAACATGGTGAATTTTGACATAAGGCATGAGGAGGAAATGTATAGATTCCAAACAGGTCAGGCCGTTGAGTTGAGGCCACCCCGGTATCGACATAATTCTGAATTAGTTTATTTGGCTAAAACGTTGTTCAGATCCTGTACGCCCTTTCTTAGACAGCAGATGAGGGGTTTAGGTGTCGGGTGTCACCGAGATCGACTGTATGTGGATATCAGACCTCTTCAAGTTTGCAATGAATTAAACTACATCACACTATGGAACACTATGGACACTACCTACTACAGACAGATATTGGACATACAAGAGGAGTTACTTCAGGGTGAGATAAAGATAGAACTACTGGGTGATGTGATGATTCTGTAATAATACAACGTTACAAATATAGGGCCAAAAGTTACCTTTTTTGCTAACACTCGGTGTCATTACTGATAATTCTGGTCCATTCATATAATGAGTGCAGCTATTTTCCCTTTAAACCAAATGGAATGGATTTTGAGAATGGTCAAGACTGAGTATTCTTTTGCATTTTAATACTTTCGAATATTGTTATCATATCATCTCATGCTGCATAAATAATATTTTCAAGCCATTGTTTTCTAAGGTGGTCCTGTTATCCATCCTTTTGACAAAGGGATCTGCGATATTCATCCTCTAGGTACAGTGAAACAATACCTCACCTTCCAGTTTCATCAAAATGGGTATGTAAGACGGAATCATTCCATGTGATATTGACCACAGCATATTAGAAAAACAGAAAATTCAAATTACAAATTTTCAAAATTTCAAACATAAAATTCAAATTACAAATTTTCAAAATTCCGACATAAATTTGGAAAGGAGGTCTTCTCGTCTGATAGTTATTTGTTATGTACGTCATGTCATGACGTATCAGAATAATGTGGAAGCATCAACGTTAATGGGATCACTCCAGGATTGTAATTCTCCTGAGTGGTGCAACAGCGTGTGAATTGTGGCACTCTAGACGACTGGATCATTCTCTTTGTAATTGCCTTCAGCTGAAATGCATATCTAGTGTTTACTTGAAACTGTATTTAAAAGCCATATCTTCACGGTGTTAATGGCCTTTTGAATGTTTCGCCAGACTCTGCTCCACGACAGAGCAGCCAGCATTCTGCAATCAGACTTTACCATTCCGCAAAGAAGAGGCTAGGAAGTTGCAGGAGCGGATGACTTCAGCTGCTGGATTTGGTCGTCTGCCCAGAGCGGACCTCAATCCGGACATACAGAAATGTCTTGTTGAGTTATGCGGGGGATGTCCGGCGACAGGTAACATGTTGTATGTTTTACAACAAAAGTAAACGGCAGGTACATCAAATACTTATACATGTACGTCTTAGCTCAATTATCATGAAGTCCGAGATCAAATAATACCAGTAGTTGTCTGCTGATTGATTTCTCTATTGCAAAATGTAAATGCATAAATCTTAATGTGTTGGGGTTTTTTTGGTCAACGTATAAAAACCAAGTATGCAATTAATTTCTAGTTATCTCCATGTCTTTTATTTTTGTGGTTGTTTACATTCAGAGTCTTCAACAAACTTGTCTCGTTTCTAAGAAGTACACCTCCTTGGGTGGTTTGTTCTGGTAAACTGAACTAGTTGTCACACGTATGCCTTCCAGGTCCGCTGTGGGATGAGAAAGTGAAAGCGTGTTCAGTGGTTGTGGACAAGTTCATCAACCGAGCAACCAGAGCGTTCCCTGATCTGACAGACCGGGCGACCTTCTTTGACACCGAGACGGCAGAGTCCAGCGTCCACTCCCTCGCCTGTCACGATGGCAACATATGTGTTGAAAACATTCAGCTGTACTCTTTGTTCAGTGAGATTTATTTTTACCCGAATATGTGTTTATGTGTGCTAAATAGAAGCGAGATAACATTGTCAATAACTATAAAAATCTTGATTGTTACATTCCAACTATTTCGTGAGCTTGTATAAGCATCAGTACCAGGTACCAGCCTGCAAAGGCAAGTCTACTGTTCACTCAATGTAATACACGGGAACATGTCGATCACATTTCTACTGTAAACCCTTTAACAGATGTAGCAACACCTTGAGGTGGAAGTCGTCCCTGTTGTGATAACGTCTTGTGGATAAATAATGCCAGATTGTGCTTGGATGAACATAGTCTTTGTTGTTTCATTTGGAAACTCAATCAGGATTCCTGGAAACGTTTTTCCTAAAATTAATCCATATTTAATCATTAGAATTCAATAAGTTATGCCTTAAAATTGTTTTCCGTAGGAACATTATTGCATCAAACATTTATATATCATATATCATATGATATGATCTAACTAACTTGTGATATTGCTTGGTTCCAGTGCCGTTGATGACGTCACGATATTCAACAGAGCCTTCGGGCAGTATCGAGGTTTTGATGTTCAGCTCCGAGAAGAATCCGATGCCATTGATGGAACTGGTGGAGCAAGAGATGGCCAACAGGGCCGCGGGCAGGGTTCGAATCTACATAGATCACCAGGAGCATGTGAAAAACTTGAAAGGGATTCTGAAGGTAATCACAAATAGGCAGTACAGAAAACACTTTATAAACAAATTAATCGACAAGTTTGTAAACTGAAATATGCGATATGCATTTTGTAATTCTAATGTTCATAGCAAGACAATAGTTACTATCAACAATTACAAGTCATGACCGAAGTGTCCAAGCACAGATCAACATAACATGAGCTTCACTAAAGGTTTCCTGTCCGTGTTGCAGGCGTTCGTGTATAGTTTGACGTCCAGACTTCACATTAAGAACCTGCGAAGCAACTTAGTGCACCTTTAATTGTAAATTAGTAAATGTAGTTGCAAAACATTAATTTCGGATCATGAGCTGAGTGTAAACTATTATGCCAACTCAGATCATGGGACATGCTCTGCAGTAGCATGCGCCATAAGAGTAGCGTTCATTAGTTGTTCCATGGTGTGTCTGTTTGTTATTATGCTGGACAAAAATAGTTAGGGATATATGTAAATTTTGAAATTATGAATAATGATCTATTCATTCATTGACACACTGATGAAATATCAATCATAAAAATACCAATATCCCTTACTTATTTTCACCAGTATAGTATTATTATAGGATATTTATATAGCGCACATATCCACGCAACTAGTGCTTGCTGAGGGTATTTTCTTCTTCGATCATTGGATGTCAGTCTCAACGGCACATCGTATTATTAATCTCAACTCCCTTGGGAGTATACAAAACAGTATCTGTAACCACGCACAGTGATGTTTCTCACATACTGGGACCGCCTCCTTGGTGTAGTGGTTAGAGCGTCCGCCCGGAGAGCGGAAGGTCGCGGGTTCGATCCCCAACCGCGTCATACCAAAAGACGTTAAAATATGGTACTTGTTGGTCCCTGCCTGGCGCTCGGCATTAATGGGTACAACAAAGACTGGTCGGCTCGGAGTCAGTATAATGTGTCTGAGTGGGGGTATTCATGTTTCACTGCGGCATGGTATCTCAGTGGGCTAGCACATAAAACCAGCTTAAGTCTGGGCTAGTACAAGCAGCCGAACATACACATACACACGCATGCACGTCGTCATATGAGCGAAATATTCTCAAGTACGACGTAAAACCCAATTTCACCTCACCTCACCTCACATACTGTACAAGGAATTTTACGATTTCTTACGGGTATATCTTTCGAAGGTTCTCATGGTCTACAACAAGAACGTATCTGAAGTCGAGTTCCATGTCTATGATGACCTTGACATTGATCTGATAACGGCTGACGTGCAGCGCAACCTGGACGTGTGGGCAGGTGACACGTGTTCCGATCACAGCAGATTCGCAATATCACCCTTCACATTTCACCAGCTGAGTCACTCCCGGAGGAAGAGAAGTCTGGCAAGGAGTCAACACAGGAATGAGGCTCGACAGAAAATATTCGACTGGGAGATGGAGTGGATGATGAAGCTTTTGTAGTCCTTGAAAACATTTTGATTGATTATTGCAGTCAGATTATATTAAATAAGAATCAAACTAAAAGAACAATTTAATGTCAAACTCAAGGACGTGATAACGTTTTACCTGTGTATTCTCAACCCCCTCCTCTTCCTTCTCTTTATTAATGAATTTGCAACAGAGCTCTACCAATCAGGCAACAATGGAATTTTTGTTACTCAAGATATACACGATTTTGTTATTACTAAATTGTTTGCTGATGACATCGTCCTTTTTGCTACCAGTGTAATAGGTCTTCAGCGCCAACTTAATATCCTGGAATCATTCTGTATCAAATGGGGACTACAGCTGAATCTTAACCAAACAAATATCATAGTGTTTCGTAACGGAGGAATTCTGAGACAAACCTGAGTCTATTCTGAAAAATATACTTTTTGTAAAAATCCTCTTAAGGTGGTTACATACTACAAATATCTCGGCATAATATTTTCATCTGGGCTCGTGTTGACAAAAGCCTGTGAAACACTTGCTCAACAAGCAAGTAAAGCCTGCCTCTCTGTTTTCAGACTATTTATCACGTATCAAGAACTAACCTATTCAAGTGCAAGAACTATATTTGAGCGATAAGTGGCACCTATACTACTGTACGGTTTGGAAATATGGGGACATAAATTTTCTGATGGTCCATACTATATATTTCAAACGGTTTCTGTAAAATGGAAAATATGCTGCAAACAAAGCCACACTTGGAGAGCTTGCACGTCATCCAATCTACGTATTAACACAGATTCGAGTAATCAAGTTTCGGTTCAAGATACTCAGTATGAATGAACAACGTTTTCCACTACAGTGCTAAAGAATGCTAAAAACATTTGATGATATGGGTTGATTCTTACTATGCAGAAACGGGTTTTCTCATGTCTGGTTTAAACCAGGGCGCTGCTAACGTTCAGCCATTCATGTATACTTTCGAACAACCATTGAAGGATATTGCCTACCAAACTTGGCACAACGAAATCAACAGCTCCACTTTTCTCAGCCATTATTCACAGTTTAAACATGAACTTTGCCTGGAGTCCTACATAACAGAACTAAAATATAAACATCTGATCCGTGCACTTATCAGGTTTCGTATTTCGAATAACAACAAAATGTCTACAAAGGACCACTCCCTCTGCCGTCAATTTTGCAATCCAAAAACAACCAAGTTATATACTGCACAGCACTATTTTTACCTTATGTTTTTAAAGTAAGATCCCAATACAAATTATGTCCACTGTTTCACGAAATTGCCAAAGTTTGTGACCGTATTATAGGCCATGAGGTCGATATTACGAAAAAACTTCTGTCTGTCTGTCATACATACATACGCACATACATACGTATACACACACATTTACAGAACTTTTTTTCTAGAAATGTCATTGATTGTTTTGTAAACTTTTATATCTGACCAGCACGATTGCACCTATCAACGCCACACATTGACTACATGCATACACTGAATCCGTATATAAGTGAAAAATGGTAAATAAAAAAATTAAAAAAGACGAATGCTATGGATGTCAACTTCTTTATCGTGATGTACACGAAGTTTCTGAATATATTCTTACTCCTTCATCAGGTGAATGAAAGAATTAGGAAACAGACAACTCTATATGTACATGTGAAAACAACAACAGTTGAGATAACAAGGGAAACCAGCAGTTAATTTGCACTCTATGCATACTTGACCGTCATTCTTTCATCCCAAAACAGACCGCCTCCGTGGTGTAGTGGTTAGAGCGTCCGCCCGGAGAGCGGAAGGTCGTGGGTTCGATACCCGACCGCATCATACCAAAAGATGTTAAAATATGGTACTTGTTGGTCCCTGCCTGGCGCTCGGCATTAATGGGTACAACAAAGACTGGTCGGCTCGGAGTCAGTATAATGTGTTTGAGTGGGGTATTCATGTTTAACTGCGGCATGGTATCTCAGTGGGCTAGCGCTATAAAACCAGCTTAAGTCTAGGCTAGTACAATCAACCGCACATACACACGCATGCACGTCGTCATATGAGCGAAATATTCTCAAGCACGACGTTAAACCCAATTTCACCTTACCTCACCTCATCCCAAAACACGTGTGACACGTGTATTGGTCAATTCGACATCGTCCGTGTACGATTCAGACTTCATCGTGCCTTGATTGAACCCAAGTCAATATTACATTTTGTAATATGAGGTTTTATCCAAATGTCAAGTGGCGGTACTGGTTTGGGTTTATGTTGATGCAATCCCTCATAAGGAAGATGAAAGACACATTCATATGCTAGATTGAATGGGTTTGAACGTACCTTAGTTATATACTGAAGCGATAAATTATAACAATGCTGTTTAAGTGAAGGCACGTCAGCCTCCCCCTACAAACTCTCAACTGAAGATGTTCTGAACGCACCAAGACAGTGACACGATCCTTGTTGTGAGGAGGTGTAAATAGAAACAGTAAAGGGTAGATACGTGAGGAAGTAATTAATGATTATACTTTATGCGACGATAACGATGATTCTAGCACCTATTTACATCCTGCCACTAGAACGTATTCTGCACTTGACCTCATTTTATGTCACAGTTTTTTACGGAAAGACATCCTCCAGCTGTCCGGGCCATATCTCACAGGGAAGAACAGTATTTGTACAATGAATCAAGCATAACTGTTAATGCTCCTAATCTGTTGGGTGGACAAGAATACCCCTCAGTGACGTATCGCTATCTGTAGACGATTTTAACATTTTTGTCACGCTAAAAACATACAAGTCATTTAGAGACATCTGCAAGTGTGTTTCAATAAAATCCACGAAGGGTCGCTTGTTAATGGCTTCAACGTAATAATGACATTTCAACGATCTAGTGTGTTTCTCCATATTGTTAAGAAAGTTTGTAAAACTTTCAGTTGTATATATTTCAAACAAAAAGGAAGATTTACAACTTATAAGAAATACTGTTACCAAAAGTTTGACACCTCATTAATGACGCCTTGTATATTTTGAAAAATCCCCTTGGGTTTACTCTTCACAGTGTAAGTTGTTCACTGTTAGGTGTACGATCAAACAGATACACGCGTGAAATGAAACAAAGTTAAAGTTTGTCCTGGTCGTTTAACAATACGGAGTATTTTCAACAAGATTCAATAATATACTGAGTCAAAAAAGAAACTTCACATTCTTTCTTCAGGGCACTATAAAAGAACAAGAGATGGTAAGATGGTTAAATTGTTATTATTTCATTGCTGAGATCTGTGTGATGTACTCGATACACTGACAGTGCCATAATCAGTTCCATTAGGCTACACCGCCGTTCCAAAACTTGGGTATACAGAATGTCAAGTCACAAGAATAAAAATGCGAAATTTCTCAGTTCAATATCGTGTATGGCCGCCCCGCGCATTCACCACTGCCAAACACCGTCTCCTCATCGTCTGCCTGATGCTTGTGAACACGTGGTTGGGGATTCTGCGCCATTGCTCTTGCAAGGCAGCGCCAGGTTCCTGCAAATTCTGAGGTTGGTTCCTAAGACCACGAAGCCTTCTCCAAAGTGCATCCCAAACGTGCTCTATTGGATTAAGGTCAGGGGACCTCGATGGCCAGTCCATGACGTTGATTCCAGCGTTTTGAAGGAAATTTCGTGTCAACATCGCGGTATGCGGCCGAGCATTATCATGCTGGAACTGTAGACCTTGGCCATGAGCCGCCATGAAAGGAACGAGTTCAGGGGTGAGCACCTGTTCGCGGTAAGCAGCAGCTGTGAGGTTTCCACGGATGACCAGAAGTCGGGAACGGTTGTTCCCACAGAAAGCACCCCACACCATGCCATTTCCGCCCCGAATCTGTCGACTTCCTGTACACAACATTGGGCATACCGTTCACGACGTCGTCTCCAGACTCTATGCCTGCCGTCCGGAATCTGAGGGTAAACCTGGATTCATCGCTAAAGACGATTCGATTCCAGTCTCTCTGGGTCCATCGGAGGTGACGTTGGGCCCACAGCAGACGTTGACGTTGATGAAACGGCGTCAATATTGGCCCACGATATGGACGTCGAGAATGGGGATTGGCAGCCCGCAACCGATTTCGAATGGTCTGTGAAGACAGTCGACCTCTAAACATCTCAGCCCTGGTTCGTGTAGCCGGCAGAAATCTGTCACGTAGGTGACGTATGACGATTTGACGGTCTTCTGCTCGTGACGTCACACGTGAACGACCCGACCTTGGGCGATCAGAAGTGGTGCCAGTTTGTTGTAGACGACCTCGCAAGTCATACACAGTACGACGGCTGCATCCCATTGCTCTTGCGACGTCAATAACTGATCTTCCCGCTTGCAACATGCCAACGGCACGTTCACGTTGCACATTTGACAATCGTGGCATTTCAAGTACCGTTAGAACTGTGGTTTAAAAGTGTTTTTTCCATTCTTGAGGCCAATGCAAACACGTGCATATGAAGAAAACTTCGATGCGAAGATCACGTGATCGACTGCACGTGCAAAACCTGATTGGGCACTAACGTCATTTGCATGACGAATGGATGGGTTTGAGTGGGTTTTGCTAACGTTTTTCTAGAGTCGAAAGATAGGGATCCCATTTCGGATACATAGATGTATCATCAGAGAAAAATTATTCATTATTTTTCAAATTACATTTTGTGAAGTTTCTTTTTTGACTCAGTATATAATACAAGATGGCAGTCATTATCCTAATATCATAGTCTACAGGTTACGTGGTCATCTGGACTAAACCAAAACAGAAATAGTATACACGTGTTACACTACAACCAGAAATTATTGAGAATTTAAAGATTGTAATTTTTTAGATTTTTTTCACTCATTACTCACGTTTTAAATGTGAATATTAGCAGAACATAACTCCAGATTCAAAGACAGGTGAACAGTTAGTATTTTGTCAAGTCACCATGGGCAGCAATGCAGGCTTCAATGCGGCTGGGCATACTACTGATCAAAGAAGTTAGAAAGTCGTGGTCCATGCTGTCCCAATATCGGACCAACTCTTCTTTCATTTCAGCAATATTTGTCAGATGTTTCTTATTGACACTTTCCTTCATAAGTTCCCAAACATTTTCTTTTGGACTTAGGTCAAGCTATAGCTTGGCCAATCTAATAATGTCATATTTTGGGTCCGAAACCAGTCCTGTGAATGCTTTGAACGATGTTTTGGGTCGTTGTTCTGCTGGAAAATCCAAACATTTCCATAGAACACGTGAGCAGATGGAAGTAAATGTCCCTCGAGAATATCTGTGTACCGCTCACTGTTCATATTCCCTTCA